AGGACCCGACACTAAAGAAGATCGAAACGACCAGCAAAATATACGAGGGCAAGGTGACGACCAAAAATAAGATCAACACCGAAGAGAGAAGGGAAACGTCAATCCTAAAAGTCGAGCAAGGACAATTCAAGAGGACGAAAAACAACGGATGGAGCAAGAACAACGAATCCTCTAAGCCAGCGAACAACGGGAAGAATACGGCGGCCAGGTCCGAGGAGCGAAAGCCTTGCGCAAAGTGCAACTCAAGACGCCACACCACGGACGGATGTTGGTGCACGGACCGAACGCAATGCCACAAGTGCGGAGGAAGAGGCCACGTTCAAGCCGCATGTCGAAATGCTAGATCCTCCAAGATAAACGCTGTTCGCGACTCTTCGGTGAGCAGCTCTAATTCATCCGATTGACAAACTGGGGGAGAGGATTCGGAATCGACCACCGACATCCTCGACCAGAGCCCCAGAATTGAAATGGAAATTGCAGATGGTTATTCTAATAATAAGTTCGTTTTCCGTTGCCTCGCCGATACCGGATCCGAAAGGACGTTGATATCGGAAGACTTGTTATTGAAACACGAATTCGTCATAAATCCCGCTGCCGATCCACACCTCGTGGCAGCCAATAACCATCCCCTGAAGTGCAATGGTCGAGCCCACGTAACATTGGCGTCCAAAGGAAGAAAGACGATCGAAACGGCCGCTATCGTCTGCAGCGACCTAAAGCAAGAGGTAATCCTGGGACGACCAATATTGCGACGGCTGCACATTATACCCAAAGGATTCCCGAACATTATCGCGAAAGTAATGACGTTCGAGGAAGAGCTGAAACGGGAATTCCCTGAAACGCTGTCCGACAAACTACCCGAAATCGCCATGAAAGGGGAGGCAATGAAGATCCATCTATGCCCAGATGCAGATATTATCCCGACCAGAAGACTGACGGCCCGTCAAGTACCGCTTGCGAGACAAGAGGCAGCGGAGGAAGTCGTGGAAAAGTTATTGCGAGATAAGATCATTCAAAGAGTCGACTGGCCCACGGACTGGATCAGCCCTGGATTTTTTGTCCCAAAAGCAGACGGAAAGAGCGTACGGTTGGTGACCGATTTTACCGGACTCAACAAATATGTCCAG